AAGTACACAAGGACATTTGCTCATGTTTGTAGCAGCTTTATTTATAATAGTTAAAAGCTGGAAACAACCCTCATTTGAGGAATGGATACAAAATTTTGGTATATTTACACAATGGAATACTACTCAGCAATTAAAAACAAGGAAATCATGAAATTTTCAGGCAAATGGTGGTAACTAGAAAAGATCATCCAGAGTGAGGTATCCCAGAAGCAGAAAGACACACATGGTATATACTCACTTATAAGTAGATATTAGACATACAAGATAGGATAATCATACTAAAATCTGTACACCTAAAGCAGCTAAGCAAGAAGGAGGACCCTGGGTAAGATGATCAATCCTCACTCAGAAAGGCAAACAGGATGGACATCAGAAGAGAGAGAAAACAGGGAACAGGACAGGAGCCTACCACAGAGGGCCTCTGAAAGACTCTACCATGCAGGGTATCAAAGCAGATGCTAAGACTCATAGCCAAACTTTGAGAAGAGTGCAGGGAATTTGATGAAAGAAAGGGGAGATAGAAAGACCTGGAGGGGACAGGAGCTCCACAAGGAGAACAACAGAACCAAGAAATCTGGGCCCAGGTGTCTTTTCTGAGACTGATATTCCAACCAAGGACCATGCATGGAGATAACCTAGAACCTCTGCACAGATGTAGCCCATGGCAGCTCAGTATCCAAGTGGGTTCCCTAGTAAGAGAAACAGGGACTGTCTCTGACATGAACTCAGTGGCCTGCTCTTTGCTCACCTCCCCTTAAGAGGGGAGCAGCCTTACAAGGCCACAAAGAAAGACAATGCAGCCAGTCCTGATGAGACCTGATAGACTAGGATGAGATGGAAGGGGAAGAGGTCCTCCCCTATCAGTGGACTTGCAGAGGGGCATAAGAGGAGATGAGGGAGGGAGGGTGAGGTTGGGAGGGAGTGAAGAAGGGAGCTACAGCCGGGATACAAAGTGAATAAACTGTAACTATACAAAAAAAAAATTTACAAAAACAAAAACAAAAAAATGCTGACAAAAGCAAGTTAAAGAAAAAGCTTCTCTTGGCTATGGGTACAGTTCATCATGTCAGGAAAGGCATGGTGGCAGAAACAGGAAGCTGGCTGGTTACGTAACACCCAAACACAGAAGATTAGATAACCAAGAAGTGGAGGGCAGACATGATAATGCACTCCTTTAATTCCAGCACTCAATAGACAAGAGGAAGATGGATCTTGAGTTTGAAGCCAACCTGCTCTACAGAGTGAGTTCTAAGACAGCTAGGGCTACACAGAGAAACTCTGTCTTAATCAATCAATCAAGAAATGAATGAATAAGTGAATAAGAAGGCCCACTCCTTGTGAGTCACATCCTCTACTGAGCTCCCTTCCTAAAGGTGTCATAACCTTCCCAACTGGTATGAAGCATTCAAACACTGGACACTTCATATCCAAGCCACAACAATAGTAGCACCGAAGCTCAGACTTCCCGAAAGCAGAGCTTGGTCTTCTCTTGGGGTTAGACACAGCATGCTCTTTCACTTCCCTTGACTCTTGTAGATAACAATCAGTGGACTGGATATTTAACCTTCTCCTTATTAGTTCCCTGTGCTAATAAATTCTAGGAAACAAAGTTCCAGAGACTAGGTCCATATCTAAGTTCTCTGACAATTGTCACCATACATAGCACAGCCATAGTTCTGTACCGGGGCTGACCCTGTGGCTACCCATGAATCAAAAGTCCTTTGATCCCACTCTTTCATCTTTTCTTTTCCCAAACTACAGGTTTCTGTGGGCCAAGCTCATCCTAGCAAATCCTTCATGTGTGCCAACTTGCACCATAGGAATAGTCAGTCTCTAAAAAGATAATAAATAAAGAGAACTGGCTAGATTTCTTTCTTTAAAATAATAAAAGCCATTAAAATATGGCCAAGGAAGCTGCCAGAGGCATGAGAGATGGAAGCCCTACATGGTTCTTTGATAGCTGTGGGTTTTTATGGTTTTCATTTTGTCAATCTTATTCAAACTGTATCCACTTTGTAAAAAGTGTGTTAGGGGCTCAGGAGATGGCTAGGTAAAGTGCTTACTGTACAAGCATGAAGACCTGAGTTCAACCTGCAGAACCCACATGAACACTGAGATGTGGTGGTGCACACTTGTAACCCGCTGCTGGAGCAGTGGAGACCAGAAGATTCGGGGTGGGGGGTGGGGATCACTGGCCAGCCATCCTCACAGCTGCCCCATGCTGCAGCAATGTCTGCTTTGGAAAAGCAAGATCCTAAAGTCTTCAGCTACTGGAATTTCTACATAGGAATTTTTTTTTTCACTTAACCTGCATCCAAAAGGGAGAATAGTGTCCTAATGAGTGGTAAGGTTCTAGAAGCTGGATTCCTGATATTCCAGGAAGAAACTTCCTCATACGCAATAGCAGAAGGAGTCCATAGTCAGGATTCATCCATCTACAGGACCCATGTGGCTGGGATAATCCTGAAGGGGTGGGGCAGGTGATGAGGAGGAAAACAAAATAGGAATAGGGTTGGGCAGGAAAAGAGAGGACTAAAAGAAGGAAGGTCAGAGTATGGGCTAGAATGTCTACTGATGTGTAAACCAACCTGCTGACTTGGGCATAATCACCAAGTTTACTGAGAAAGTGAAGAGCGCCTGGGGACATGTGAGGGCCAAGCTGGACTATTGTGTCCTTCCTGACCCTGCCTGGTTAAACAGGGTCAACCCTGTTTACTGTGCTGACAATACACAGCGTCTGTCGCTGCGAGGCCAACAGCTTCCATCGTCCTGGTTGACTCCGTTTGGCTAAGGGATGCATTGATGCCAGATATCAGACACCATTTCCTGAACCATCTTGAGTGACAAGTGACCCCAAGCCCTCCTCTCTCTGCTCTTCCCTTTAGCCTCTAAAGTGCCCGTGGCCTGGCCTAACTTCCCTCTTTGGCCAACCCTGCCCCCCTGGTGTGGAGAATCTGGGGAAATCAAGGTTGAGACGACTGCAGGCCGTCGGCTGAAGTACTGAACCCAAGGCAGAAACCTGGGGACAACATGTATTTATGTCACAAAGAACCTGATAAAAGATTAAGAAAAACTTCTACAATAAATTACCCGTCTATGTGGATTAAATGATCAGCTTCCCAGATTGCCCTTTGGTCATGTTTATGAATGTGAACATAAATAAAGCGATAGGAACACAGATATCCACATTAAGGTGCCCAGCCCTGAGACAGTTCCAGGCTGTGGCTTCTCCCACAAGGCAGCACGGAACTGTTTGCTTGCCTATATGGCCCTGCTGTCCTCTAGTCAGCACCTAATAGAAATGATTTTATAGCTGCTCAGCTCTGGGCTTCATTTCTGTGTTAATCTCTTAATGGGAACGTGTCAAGTGACAGTGGAACCAACGCTATAAGAGATCTGGGCACTCTCCTTTGCCTTATCTGATCGTTTTTTCTAGTTCAAGATGAATTTCAACATCGTTCCTTGGCATGGGATACTCTCCGTGACTCTCACCTGGAGGCCTCTTGCTCACGGGCGTGAAGATCTGGCGTCCTGATATGGACGCTACCCATGAGTCAATCACAGGTGCGAGTGCTTGTGAATTTTCTAGTAGGAGGCGGCCAGGACCATGTCTGGTCCCTGGATGCAGAGGGAGGCTTGACAATCATAGTTGCTTTTTCACTAGCCCACTCCCACGGCCTGCCCAATGAATAATAGACGTGGCCTCAGCTTCTGACGTAGTCACTTAGGATGTCCGGACATGACTGAGGAAATCCCTAAATGGCTCTGAACCCACTCACTCAGCAGATGGCCAAGGGGCTGTAGGGCCCAAGCCGTGGAGCAGCTCTGGGAGCCAGAACAGGCCATTGGAGGCAGCCACGAACACCCTGGCCAGGGTCCGGCCAGCCGCTGCAGGGAAGAGGGAGACCACTCTGGGTCACTGCCTTTGGGTTAAGCCGTTATAACCACTGAGTGTTTGACAGAAGAGAAGGGAGGGGGTGAGTAAGAGAAGGAAGGCAGGAAAGCAGAAAGAGGGAAAGAGTGAGAGAAAAGGAGCACACAGAAGAGAAGCAGGAAAAGACAGACAGAAAGACAGAGGTTACACTCCTGTTTTATCATGCAGGTAGGTTTTCGGTAGGCCACCCTTCTAGGCTTTGCTTGGCAGCATCACAGTGCCCTGGGATCTTTCTTTCCAGTAGGAGAGAGTGCCTATTTCCCTGGCATTTGGATGCCCCTATCGGCATCCTAAAGGAACATCCCTATGTTAGGGTTACTGACACAGATGGAACAACCTAGAACAACAAGAAAATGACAATAGAACAAATACACCCATTACACCCAGGCCCTACATTTGCACTTGACATACGTGTGTGTGTGTGTGTGTGCGTGTCAAAAAGAGGGACATACTAGGATTGACAGGCAAGAATGCCAAAGTGGAGTGAACCCTTTGAAAAGTCAGGATGATCCAGCCCAAGAGAAATCAGAGCAAGCTGCCACAGCATGTCGCTCAAGTCCATTGCTTACAAAAGGATCCAGGAGAACATGCAAGGAGCTTGGAGGTGAGCCCAGACCCTGGTGCATATGCAACCAAATGCATGTGCTGTCTCTGTCACACCTTGCAGGAGAGGTTGGCTGTGGAGGTGACATAAGGATGTATTAATTTTCTGGCCACTTAATGTGCTGGAGAAAGATTAACCGGCTGTGATATGTTAAGGGACTCAGATTTCTCCCCGTGGGATACAGAGAAAGGATTGTTTGTAGTACTGGTGTGAGGCAGAGACGAGCTCACAGAGAATGAGGCTACAATAAACACTTCACACTCCAGGGCCTGCTCTGGGCATTTCCGGACAGCCAAGTCTTCCCCCACTGGAGAGGGACGGTTGGAAGTTGGCCTGCCCAAGGAAAGTCTGACCTGAAGGCTGGTCCCTCTCTAAATAAACTAATGCTCACCCTTTGACTCTCGGTCAAGAGTCGTCCTGAGCTGACCGTAGCCGCCTTTAGCAGCATTTGGAGCTCGGCAGGTGAAGCCTCAGGACCCGCTGCCTCCAGGAACCATGCTGACCATGGATGATATTCTAGAACACATAGGGGAATTCCACCTTTTCCAGAAGCAGACATTTCTCCTCTTAGCTCTGCTTTCTGGTGCCTTCACCCCCATCTACGTGGGCATCGTCTTCCTGGGCTTCACCCCTGAGCACCGCTGCTGGAGCCCCGGGGTGGCCGAGCTGAGCCAGCGATGTGGCTGGAGTCTGGCAGAGGAGCTCAACTACACAGTGCCGGGCCTGGGGTCTGCGGATGACGCCTCCTTCCTCAGCCAGTGCATGCAGTATGAGGTGGACTGGAACCAGAGCACCCTTGACTGTGTGGACCCCCTGTCCAGCCTGACTGCCAACAGGAGCCGCTTGCCTCTGAGCCCCTGCCAACATGGCTGGGTGTACGACACTCCTGGCTCCTCCATCGTCACTGAGGTAAGTGAGCTCAGGAATCAGGGTTCAAAGAAAAAAAAAGTAAATAATTGAGTTTGTCTTTAGGAAGAACTAGGAAATGCATGGTTCTTATGCTTGCCCAGACGTGCTTTCTGGACCCTTCTAGAATCCTAGTTTCCTGGTAGAAATCTGCAGCCTCTCACTTGCCTGAGGTAGTTAAGTGAGAACTGCCCCTGCTGACAGTTCTGGTATGTGCAGGTCTCAGCAGTGAGCAACAAGCTAGCACACAACGGATGCCCCAAAAGCGATGCCTTCCACTACACACAAGTGTCACCAGAAAGAGTGTGACACTTTTTTTCTGAGAGTGTGACCTCAGAGTATGCTCCGCTAAGGGGTATTTTAAATATTATAAAACATCCTTTTCTCCAGAGAGATTTGTTCCTCTGCAGTGCGGCCAAAACGCCCACAGGAAACTTTGGGGCTAAGGCTTAGACCATGACACAATTATTTTTATTAAAAAGCATAGTCACTGGGGAAGGGGGGCAGGCGAAATGGCTTAGAGGGTCAAAGCACTTGCCATGCAAACCTGACAACGTGAGCTCAACCCCAGAACCCGTGTAAAGTAGATGGAGAGAACCAACTCCACAAAGCTGTCCTCCGACTTCCACATGCAGTAACACGTGCACACCTACACTCGTACACCATACACACGCATCCCGTGACAGTGTAAGTGTTTTAAAAGAAAAAAAATGCAGGCGTGGGCCGAGGGTACGGCTCAGTGGCTAAAACGCCTGCCTTGCAAGCAGGAGAGCCTGAGTTCAGTCTCCAGAGCTCACGGGGGGTTTAAAAAAAAAAAAAAAAACCCAGGTGTGGGCACGTGATTCTAATTCCTGCACCTAGGGGAGCAAAAGGTGGGTGGGTTCCAGAGGCTTGCTATCTGGCCAGCTGGACCTAGGTGGCCGGGTTCAGGCCAACGAGAAACACTATCTCAAGAGAAAAAACAAAAGTAAGGTTGTCTCTTGAGAAATCAGCAGCGGGGTGCTCTGCCCCCCTAGGCGTGTGTACACACACCTATGCACACATGAACATTCACATTCACACAAATACACACATACATGTGATCTAACTGTGCAGCCTCATTCCATGAAGAGAGAAGCAAGCATGGGAACTTCCTGTGGAATTGCCCTGCAAGCGCAGAGGAAGCTGTTAAGCGGCTGGTTGGAAAGGTTGCTACCCTGACCTTTAGTGAAAGAGCCTAAGTGGGGGGGGGGGGGCTGAAATGGACTTCACACCACATCAGGGCTCCCGGAATGGTCGCCCTAACCCTCTAAAACAGCTCTATAGAGTGAGTCGCCACATCCCTTTGCACAGAGGTCAGGAAACTGAGGCCAGAGAAGAAGAACTTGGTTTTGCACCAGACTGCAGAATAAAAGAGGAGAGACTGAGTGTTAGAAGACCTTCTCCATGTGCGAGGTGCTCACAGCTCACTCTCCACCCGCCTTCCAAGCAAACCGGATGTAACCACCACCGGCAGGACACCTCGAATGCCCCTATTGTTTAAAAAAAAAAAAAAAAGACAGCGAAGAGATGCTCAACACTCACTTTTCCACTAGCTGCACAGGTACAACAAGTGTCTGCCTCCTATCACATCTGTGTCTTCTGAAGAGAAGGGAGAAGATGAGTGGTTTAAGTCACTACCTGCTTTCAGCCGATAGAGCCGATGCTTTCGCCAAATGCCAGACTCATGCCAGATGGAATGCTAAATGGATTCCAGAAAAACAATCTTTTGGCAGATTGGAGAAGAGAGAATTACTATGGGTTGGGAAACAGCTGGGTTATTGGCACGCAGTTCAAGAAATACCACACACTAATCAACTGGACCCCTGGGCTCCCAGGAACTCCCAGTTAGGACCATTCAGAGAGCTCTCTGAGCTCAACCGTGTCTAAGGAGATTCTAACAGCATTTTCTTCCTCTCTCCCTGTGCCCTTCCTCTGCCCCGGCTTGGGCTATACCTCACATCTGGACAGTTTAACCTGGTGTGTGCTCACTCCTGGATGCTGGACCTCTTTCAGGCGGTAGTGAACGTGGGCTTTTTCATCGGTGCTGTGGGGATTGGCTACTTAGCAGACAGGTAGGTGAAACGCCTGCGGGGCTTTTTAAATAACCGACGGGTTCGGACAGCACGTGGGCCCACCTTCCCTGCACGAATCCTGTGCCCCAAACGCTCAGACAGACCACTCACTCCCACCCGCATTAATGGCGGCTGCTTTCACAACCTTGAATCGTTTCCAGCTGCTTTGATAATAATGACTCAGGTTTTACTCTCAGATCCTCTGGAAGTCAGGGAAGAAGGATTCAATCACCAAGGAGGGTTTTTTTTTTTTTTGGTGGGGGGGGAGAGGGAGAGGATGCTGTCCACCAGTTTAGGGCTAGAACAGGAGGCAACAAATGGTTTAATCCATCTTGTGACTCTCAGTCTATTCTTCAGCCTCACTGTCCCCCACGTGGTTTCGAGCCTTCAGGAGCTGTGAGCCTCAGCCATACTGGCTATTCTCCTATATCCCAAGCCCCTTCTCCAGGCTCTCTGCCTCTGTCTATCTATACTCAGTCTCTCTACTGGCCAAGCTGTGGCCCCTGACTCTGGTTGCCCAACATTGTGGACTCCTGCTCACTGTACAAAAGAGCTTTTTTAAAAAATTTTACTCTTTTTAATTCAAATCTCATTTCATCGTCCCCTTCCCTTTCCTCCCTCCAATCTCTCCAATGTCCCCTCAACTCCCAAACTGATAACCTCCTTTTCTTTGACTGGTATTGTTACACTCAGCACACATATATGAACAAATATATAAATACAACCTGCTGTGCCTGCTTCCGTCGTGTGTATATGGTTTCAGGATGACCAGTCAGGGAGCTCGCCCTGGGAGAGGCTAATTCTCGTTCTCTTAGCAGTCATTAGCTGCCTGTTGTTCCTTGTCTAGGGGTGGGGACCTGTGAGCTTTCCCCCCTTCTGGCTTATTATGTTGCACAGCGTACTTTAGACTTCCTGGTCCACTGGCTCTTACAGTCTTCCCAGGCCTCTTCCGTGATGTTCCCTGAGCCACAGGTGCTTGAGCTGTGTTGCAGGCATATTCACTGGGGTTGGGTGTGCCATAATCCATTGATCTCTGCATTGTGTCCAGTCGTGGTCTCCATTGGCTTTAGAGAGATGCTTCCTTTTTGATGAAGAGTGATGGCTACATTTACCTGTTGGGTAGAAGGATAAGACTTAGAACGTAGTTAAGGACGGTCTTTGTACAAACATCTTTCCTCTGTAGATGGTCATTAGCTAGTAAGGGGAGTCTTCAGCAGAGAGAGGAATGAGACTTGAGGAGTATGGTAAACACATAGGTATCAGGGTCTATGGGACAATATTCACAATGCCCCCATGTGCAGAGTTCTTCCCGGAAGCCAGGCACTGAACTCTGTGACCTGGCAGTTCCATCCTAACTGCCAGGCACCTAACAGCATAGTGCATGTAACTGTGTATTTGTGTGCATAATACCTACAATGATGATACATTTGTATAATCTATATATGTGTATACAGAGAGGTTGCTAGAAATAGCGTTCCTGTAATCACATAAACGCAGTGGGTTCAGGACCACTGTGTAATAACACAAGTAGGAAATAATATGGTTGCATGCTTACTGCACTTGTTTTTAGTGAAACTTAATTATAGATGTATATAACTTTGGATAATGGCTGTATTAAACAATCAGCCTACTATATATATATTGGACTCAGAAATAAACAGCCACTGAGTCTTGTACTCGCTGGCTTTTCAGGCCTCCCCAACTATCTCTCTACTGTGAATATAATATAAATACAAGACAGCTTTCTTTGATTATACATCAAGCTGGCATCAAAATCGTAAAGGTTCGTAAGAATCTGCTGACTTTACAAGAGCCTGAGGCCTCGTTGGCAGCAGGAGGGAGGATGGATGGAGGCGGAGGCACTGTGCCAAAAGTCACAACGCATTTGTAACTGTCTGCTCAGCCTCACTGGCCAGAGTCTTCCCGGGACTGGCTGTGGGAGGCTGGGAGGTGGAGAGGTAGGCCATTCATTTTTATTGTGATTACACAGAACTGAGGTTAGCTATTTGCAGGCTGCCGGAGAAGTCAAGACAGACATTAATGAAGAGGTCTAGGGTCCAACCTCACTCGCTGGCTGCTGGCCAGACAGCTCCTGGTTCATCCACTTTTGGTACACCAAGGTGGACATTAGCACCAAATCTCCAAGAAGCATCACGCACGCAGGTGACGGCCTCGCTCAGTAAGCTGCAGAAGCCTGATAATGATTCTCACCCCACTCAAGGAGGCAGGGCTCAGCCCTCCTCACAGCGCATGCCCAATAGCAAGCGGACCAGTTCCCCTCCTCCATTCTTATGCACGCAACCTCTAGAAAGCTCTATTGCTTCCTGGAGGCTTTCAATTGCTCCTTCTTCTGTCCCACTCACATGCAAGAGAACAAAGCACGACAAGGAACAAAAGACACACATGTACTCTCTACACACTTAATGCCTGCCACAGGCTTTAGACTTCATGAAGTAAGTCAAGGAAAAAGAGAGAAACAGGAAGGAAGAAAAAGGAAAAGAGAAGAGAGAAGAAAAAGGAAGGAAGGGAAGAAGGAAGAAGAAAGGAAGGAAAGAAGGAAGGAAGGAAAATTAATTGTCTTGAAGGAAGTCAATTTCTCCAGGGTCATTTTGTGACATAGATTTTGAAGTTAGTTGTTTCCTAAAATGTCTAATTTATTTCTTCACTCCTGAGGAAGGGTTTTTGTGTGTTGCCTGACACACAGAAACACAATCTTTCATCAGTTCCAAGCATTGTACTCTAATAAGAAATAACAGGTGCTGTATTTAGTGGCATGCTTGCAAGCATTTAACAGCAAACATTCTGGAGGGAACAAGTCCATCAGAGTTGTCCAGAGACAGCAGAGCAGTGAATGCAGATAACCTCAGAGGCTGGGTGATCAGTTGTAATAAGCAAGTAGGAAGTAAGATGTTTTACACCTGTTTTTCCTTGTTTTAATGTAACTTATTTAAATTGTAAGTGTGTGTCACTTGATTTTTAATAAGGGTTGTGTTTAACAACTCATTTGCAACTCTTACTCTTGGGAGTCCAGGCCTGCTGTCCCAGCAGCTCAAAGCAGAGCCTTTGGGCTGTGGTCAGTTGTAACCAAATGTTTAGAATCATCAGAAACAAACTCTCCACCAACTACAAGGAGGAGTGTTTTTACTAGGCACCCTCATTTGATCTCACTTAGGATGGTGACAGCCTTGTAGATTTTACTACCTATCGTTTACAGAAAAGGAAACTGAGGCAGGATGGATTGAAGCACCTCTTCCCAGATATTAATGAACATAGAAGTCACCCCAGACTTGCTATAAGTCAGACTATGACCCATCAGTCTTGATGGACCTGAGGATCTGCATCTTTACCAAACTCCCAAATAATGCTGTTCATCCCTGCCCCATGAGGGAGGTCCAGATTCTGATACTGAATAGTAGACAGCTAAAGGACACCCCAAAGTGGTGCCTAGCTACTCTGGTTCTTTCTGTTTTTGCATTAAATAATTTAAATCACTCTGTGGTGTTTATGGTAGTGGAGGAGGGGTATCTTAAGTTACTAACTCAGACTTTCTCAAGCTTTCTTAGACAAAAAACAAAAACAAAAACAAAAACAAAAAACACCTGTCTCTTTAATGGGACAGGCATATTCTCTCTGCAACTTGGATTTACTTTCCCTGCCTGGAGTCTCCAATAATGCATTTCTCTGTTTCAGCCAAAGGCTTTTGTCCCTCAATATAGCAACATCACTGTGGCTTTACTGAGTGCCTACAGTAGGTGCTGAGAAATCACCATCTGAGTAGATGTTTACAAACTCTCAACTCTAAGGGTAATAAGTGTGCCCTGCCAATGGCCCATAAACCACATGCATCCATGGATAGTTGTGGATGCAGTCCAGAACAGAATCATGAATTTATTTAAAATACTGAGATTTGTGTGTGTGTTTGTGTGTGCGCGCATGGGGGGACAGACAGACAGAGATCAATATGAGGCATCTCCTTTTATCGCTCTCTGCTTTACTGTTTGAGGCAGGGTCTCTCCCTGAACCTGGGGCTTGCTGTTTCAACTAGACTGGGTAGCCAGAAAGTCCTGGGGATCACCTGTCTGTGCCTCCCAGCAAATGCCACCATACCTGGCTTTTTGTGTAGATGCTGGACATCCAAACTGAACCTCACCCTCTGAGCCATCTCCTCAGCCTCCACAATGCGATTAAAAAAAAAAAATCTTCATTTCTTGGTTCTTGAGCATAAACTTGGTAGCTGGAAATGACGTGTCACAGTATCAGAAAGTTAGAGAAGCCTGACTGGAGAAAACAGGAAGAAACATTTAAAAAATTAGCGAAGCATCCCTGTGGTAAGCTTGGCACTAAATGCTTCAATGTTACCTGGTATCGTGGGCAGATACTGGCAGAGAACTTGGAAGTGACACGGTTAAAGCAATTTTCAGTTGAGTAGTTTACACTAATGACTAAAGAGACAACTTGAACTTTAAATTTCAGACCAAAAACACTAACATCCTAGGAAAATTATTAATAATGTCATGGATCATTTTCAGATGGTTAGTTAATATTTGAACTGCTCCCTAGAACACAGCTGTATAATAATAGAAGAAGCAGCTACCAAATATTGAATTACCAAAGGGACATGTAACCTTGACTTCAGTTAAACAAAACATTCATATAGTAGATAACATGGTCTTCTACAATTGATTACAGTGAAATAGGTGCCTTTTAGAACACAATTAGGAAGGCATGGCTGGAAGTGACAGAGCCCCAAGTCTGCTCTCTGAGAGCCAGCTGTTTTCTGTTACTCAGATGTGATCCTTGGCTGAGCAGCTTTGGAAAGGAAGTGGTGTTAGTTAGCTCACAGTTCTGGATGGCCAAGGGGAGGACATTGGCTCGGCTGTGGTTAGGCTGCCTTGGCAGGTGACAGTATGGTGAAGGATCCTGTGCAGGAAAAAAAAAAAAATCACATCACAAGGTAAGTCCAGAATGCCATTTGGGAGTCAGGCTCACTCATAACAACTCATTCTCTTAAGATCCACTTCAGAGGTTGGAGAGATAGTAGAAAAAGTGTTTGCCACAAGCGTGAGGGTCTGAATTCTGTCCCCAAAACACATTTAAAAAGAAACGTGGGAAAAACTGGAGAGGTGAATCAGTAGTTAAGAGCTTTTTGCTCTTGCAGAGGACCCAGGTTCAATACCCAGCACCCACAAGGAGGCTCACAGCCATCTACAACTCCAGTTCTAGGGGATGCAATGACCTCTTGGGGCCTCTGTGGGCACCCAGGCATGCATATGATACACAGACATACATGCAGGTAAAACGCTCATACACATTAAACAAACAAGCAAGCAAGCACGTTTGTGCATACTTGGATTCCAACACTGGGGAGGCAGAAAGCCTGGGGTTCAATGGTTGGAAAGCCAGCCTCGCCTACTCAGTGAGTTCCAGGCTAGGGAGAGGCCCTATCTCAAAAAGCAAGGCGAATAGCACCTGAGGAATGATGCCTGAGGTCGGCCTCTGGTTTAGACACACGTGCACACACACACGCAAGCACACATACACATATAAACACCCAAAAACGTACGAAGAACTAATTGAGGACCCCAGAGCACCACTTTATTCCCTTCTGACACTGGGCAGTGTCCCCAGTCAGGCTTCACCTCTTTAGAATTCATTCATTCCCAACATTACCACAGTGAGGACCAAGTTCTTAATACATGAGTCTTTGGGGAACAAACAGTAACACACCATTATGGGCAAGGAGGACAAAGTCCTCAGCTCTCTAAATCCAATGCCTTATGGAATCCCCTTTCCAGATAGTCAGTTAGGGTTTTTTTTTTTTTTTCAATGTGAAGAAATTTGTTAATGTTGACTAACTTATCCAACACCACAATAAGTGCTGAGGGCGTGATTGGACTTCAGTCACCAGGAATCTGTCTTCTTGGACAATTCTCCCCATCCCAGACTGATGAAATCTAAGTTCTTCAAATAAAAAAAAATGGAAGACACTTCATAGCAAACAGAATGATAACTATGGGAAACCAAAGTGGAAACTTTCTTAGACAGGCGGTTGGCTGGGACTTGGCACCAAACCTGCAGCTTGCAGATCATAGATTGCTCTATGATCTGACTAGACTTATGTAAAGGGCATCCATTCCTGGATGGTCTGGAAAGCGAAAACTTTTCCCAAAAGAAGAGCCACTGTACCTGGGTGAAGGGCGCTCAGTGAGCTTTAAGTTTATTTGTGTAGCCTCACAAAGGTTACTAAGCAGAACTGAAGCCAAGGATCTTTGTGTGTGTGTGTGTGTGTGTGTGTGTGTGTGTGTGTGTGTGTGTGTGTTGTGTTGAGAGGAGGTATCATCCACACTTTTTTTATGTGGGAAGTAAATCTTTAATTGTATTTTAGGAAGCACACTATCAGGGATCAAATAAGTCTATTAATAATGAAAACGCAGCCAGTTAATCAAGAGAAAAGGACAATTCTAGATGCCCGTACATCTAATATCATCACTGTGACACCTGAAGTAAGAGCTGATTGGATACGAGCAGAAATAGATAGGTGTAACTTAAAGTCAGATTCGTATTACTTACAATCGAATGGAGAACTAGCCTCAGATTTTGATGCCATCTTTATAATGTCTGTGAATCTTCTCCAATGTCCATGAATCCAGCTGTGATGGATGATGTTGGCAATTTGTTGGGATCTAGAATCAGCTAGAAGACAAAAGTCTGGCTGTGCCTGTAAGGGGTTGTATAGATTAAGATCACTGAGGAGGGGGGACCCATCTTCACTCTGGACATCACCAATTCTATGAGCGGGGGTCCTAGCTAGATGAAAGGAGAAAGTGAGCTAAACACCAGCTTCCTGGCTCTCTGCTTCCTCATTATAGATGCAAGGTGACCAGAGGCTCCAGCTCCTTGCCCTGATGGCCCTTTCTATGATGAGCTATACCCTAAAACCCTGAGCCAAAATAAGCCCTTTCTTTTATCCAAAAGCTGCTTTTACCAGAGGTTCTGTCACAGCACAAGGAGACATAACGGATACACCAACTAATTCCACACCCTTTCCCGGTTCTTCTCTATAGGTTTGGCCGGAAGTTCTGCCTCTTGGTTACCACCCTCATCAATGCCATTTCTGGGGTTCTCATGGCGATTTCCCCCAACTACACCTGGATGCTGGTGTTTCGCTTGCTCCAGGGCCTGGTCAGCAAAGCAGGCTGGTTAATTGGCTACATCCTGAGTAAGAAGGTTTGGGGTGCTGTTGGGAGCACACAGGGACTCTTAGTAAGGTAGAACCTGGTTGGAAAGACAATGACTTTTATTCTGTACCTAAAGAATGTTTTAGCCAGGCAGCAGTGCCACATGCCTTTAATCTCAGCATTCGAGAGGGAGAGGCAGGCAGATCTCTGAGTTTAAGGCCAGCCTGGTCTACAGAGCAAGTTCCAGGACAGCCAGGTCTACACAAAGAAACCCTGTCCTGAACCACACCCCCACAAACACACAAAAAAAGAATTTTTTTAAAGCACTCAATCAATTCACTTTATGTTCTTCGTATGAAAAAAAATTTCAAAAGCAAAATTACCACACCAGCCAGAGTCCTAGTTAGCTTTTGGGGGAATATTTGGTTTCTGAACTTTGTGATGCTATATGGAGAGAAAGTAGAGCATACCAACTCTATTCAGACAGAAGTTTCAAGATCAGAGATGTGCTGGTGTGTGAGAGAATTTTCACTGTGCTTTACCTGTCCTAATAAACCATTGGATTTACACATGAGGAAGCTGAGAACACAAGCATAGTGGTTATGTTACTCAGTGGTTGTGTTATCTTGGTTATTCAGCAAGATCTCAAATGACCCAGGGGACAGGTCTTTGAGGGGTTATCTATATTAGACTGAGGTAGGAATACCCACCTTGACTGTGGGCAGCACTGTGCTATAAGCTGTGGTCCTGGAGCAACAGAAAAGTGGAGCATGAGCTGTAAGATCTGGGCTGTAGTTTACTCACTAGTAAACAAAGTTGCAGTTAAGGACCTTGAGGCACAAAAGCGTGCTTAATCCTACAGCACGGCAGCTATCTGGCAGCTGGTTGGATCTTGGAAATCCTCATGATCATATCCCTTTGGCTAAACTTGAAAAAAAAAAAAAAGTTCTTTGAAATTAAGGGAATAATACTGCAGGTTTGGTCGTACAAGAAGTAAATAGAATATGTGCTTATATAATTTTACCTGGTAACATGAATCTGGGGGAATTTCAGGGTGGAAAGAGAACATTAGTCCATCCAGAAAAGACAAATAAATGGTTGGTGAATGAAGCTATTCATAGTTTCACTGGCTAGCATGCAGCTATTCAGCCAATAATTTGGTTTCTAGAACATTCTGTATAGAAATCAATTATACAGATGTACATTTTGTCATTAATCTCAGCCTCTTACCAGTCATTTCTTTCAAAGTCTCTGTGAATGTGGAGGCCTTGATGCCTACCTTGTAACTTTCTCCCCACCCCACCCAGGACCCCAGCCACTGTAAAAGACAGACACTTGTATTTGCTGAACACGAGTACCATTTTACTTCATGAAAGCAGCCATTTTAAAATATTTTCAGGTGGTTTCCAGTTACTTATAGAAATAGGTTTAGCAGGTATGTGTGTTGGATTAGAAATTTTTAAAATAGTTTGGGAAAACAGGTTTGTGAGACATTTAAAGCAAAGATTATGGGACGTGTGACATTCCAATTTTAGTGTATCTATCACATGAAAACAACTTATCTCCTCGCTCCCGCATACAGACCTCACATGTCTTTCATGATGTAGACATGGGGCCATAAACAAGACAGATTATTCCCCCACATGCAATGGTAGCTGGTAACTTGCTTCTCAAAGGATATAACAAGTCCTCAGTTGTGTGTTTTCTACTTTCTAAGCCTCAACTACTCCCACCATGAAGGTTTCAAATAGATATGTATTTAACAACTAATTTGCAAAGTTTTTAATACATTTTGAATGAATACCTTTGCAAGCTAGTATTAGTTGATTCCTGCCTTTCACAGGGTTTTTAGTCTGTTACACGAATAAACATAATTACAAAGTGTTTCTCTCTATAAGACAACTTGCATGTAAATGTTCATTTATATATGAAACATCTATGTTTTTTTAATTCAGTTTTTTATTCATGCCTTGAGTTATTGCTGCCTGATTTTTGTGTGAAATTTGTGTGAAATATGGCTACATTCATTACTGAAAATTTAAAAGTATTGTTTCGTTTTTATTTATGTGTGTGCATATATATGTGCCACACGTGAGCAGATATGCATGGAGGCCAGAAGAGGGTTCAGATCCCCTAAAACTGGAGTTAGAGGTGGTTGTGAATTCCCAGACATGGGCGCTGAGAACCAAACTCAGGTCCTCTGCAAAAGCAGCAAATGCTCCTAACCACTGAACATCTCTCAGCCCCTGAAATTTTTTTGTTGTTGTTGTTGCTACTATTGTTTTTTTTTTTTTATTTTTGATACACAAACGTGTGTAATCAAGAATGGCCTTGAATTTACAAAAATCCCCTGCCTCTGCCTCCCAAGTACTGGGATTATAGGCATGAGGTACCATGCCTATGCCTTGTGCCTGAAATTTTTCTGTAAATCAAGCAGATTTACAGAAATCTGTTCATTTTGTTAACATCGGTCAGTTAATGCGAGTTTATTAATTAATACTATAGCAATAACCGCAACAAAATGCCCAACACACACGTTTTACATTGTTTGAAGAGATGTGTAGAAATTTCTAAATTAAGCCCGTATTTTTCAGCTGGTTGCCTTAAGATTGGAAGCCCCCTTTGGCTCATTTTGCTGACAATGTGGATTCTTTTCTGCAGTTACAGAATTTGTTGGGTTGGGCTATCGCAGAACAGTGGGGATTTTTTACCAAGTCGCCTTTACTGCTGGGCTCCTGGTACTGGCAGGGGTGGCCTGCCTGATTCCCCATTGGAGGTGGCTGCAGTTTGCCGTGACTCTGCCCAACTTCTTCTTCCTGCTCTATTTCTGGTAAGTCTCTTAGGAACGAAAAGAAGATGCAACAGGATAATCTATTTCATCTAAGTCTTTCTTTTCCATGAACGTCCTGCTTGTAAATGATAATGCTTCCCTCTCCATGCCTGTTTCACAAGAAAGCCAAATACCTGTTGATTAAATAAAAATTACAGTCTCCTGCTAGAAGTCCAATGTTCTTTGGCTTGGGACACAAGATAGTTGTGACCTGTTTCTTTCATCTCATGTTATTTATCTGATGTCTGACTCCCAACAGCTAGGGTACAGTTTGGGTGACACACCCTTTAAAAAAGTCAACAATGTTGCCCTTTCTTATCCAGGCAGAGTGGCATATGCCTAATCACTACTTTCCCATAGGTGTGACCAAGGCAGACATCTCCAATCAATCATAACAGCAATTATTAAAAAAAAAAAAAAGGCCAACATGGCAATCCAGATAGACCATACTGATAACTGAAACAAAGCGAGCTGGTAGCACTGTAGAGGAAGGGGGATTCAGGGACAGATGTAGAGGTGGGGGCTGCAGGAAGTTCTGGTTAATCTTCCTCTCCCCTGACACCTCCATCAGTTACTTCCTAGCCCTGGTGGAGCCTCCCCAACATCGGTAAACCTGCGGCTAAATCTCGGTGAGTTAGGTAATATCAGGCTCTGTGGGAGCTTCTGTCCCAGGCACTCCCAGAGTAAGGCCCCAGTGACTGTCCAAACTTCACATGAACACAGAGAGCCGCTGTGTGTGCATCCAGCAAGCCGTCGAATGAGCCCAGAGCCTACACACACATCTCAGCTTGGGTTGAGCCAGAGTTTCCTGCCCTGGTGCTCTCAGGAAAGCCTGGACCACTGCAAATCCCATCTGTAGGCTGTCCAGACTTTCTCCCAAGTCGCCACTTCTTTCCCACCCCCAAGATCAGGCAATAGTGGGGAAGTCACTAGAACTTATTATGAACAGCTAGAAAAATTGCTCTCTAGCTAGAAAAAACAGCGTCCCAGGGGCTGGCTGCTGAGCAGGCCACACTCCGCATCTTGACCCCTCTATGGTGACTATGGGGTCACCATAGTCCACTCCACATGGCCCTCTGGGCCCTACCTGTCCCAGAGCAGTGAGCCATCAAGACTTCCAGCTCTTATGCCTTTAACCCTGTGAGCCTAGCCCTCTGGCTTCCAACTTGGCTGGCTGGCCAACCTCTCCACCCCCACCTCCATTCACCCTGACCTTGACTGCTCTGAAGCACTTCTAGATATGGGCCCTCAGGGACTTGCCATGGCTGCTTGACCCTGCTAGGTCAGGACACAGGGCCCTTGCTTAGAGCAGCACCCTGGGACTTGCAGGGCCTTCTTAAGTCTGTTAGGCCAAGCTCAAACCATTCAGTTTGAGTTTCTGCATTCTGCCCACTACCTGACCTCAGAACCTTACCTCATGTTTCCTTCCACGACGATTTGCAACTCCCACCTCTATTTCTTGACCCTAGTTCTCAAGCTCACCCCTCTTCACCCCTCCCACAGCTCCTCAGCCCTCTTCAGGATTCCACAAGCTGCATATGCAGTGGCACCCTGCTCAGCAGCTCACTTGCCGCTGTCCAGTGAGGAGAGCCTGAAGGCCTCCTGGGCATGTGCTGACTACAAGTCAGCCCTTCGGGGAGGACAGAGCCTTACATGCTCTGCACAGTGTTCTCAGCCTCCTTGGTAGGTCCAGCTGAACCTCCCTGTGCCATATGCTCCTACATCGGCAATGGGGAGGCAGCAAAATACCATCTGTCCTTATACCCTAGGTGCATACCAGAATCTCCAAGATGGCTCATCTCCCAGAACAAAAATGCAAAAGCCATGAAGATAATTAAACACATTGCTAAGAAAAATGGAAAATCAGTGCCAGTCTCTCTTCAGGTAAGTTGAGGCCTTGGGTGTCAAATGGGGGGAGGGGGGCTAGTGAGAAGGCAGGGTACAGAAAACATGCCTTGTGTGCTAGCCATCCCAACGGAGAGGCATGGGGCCCACATGCATTTTGACCTCACTATAGGAAAATACGATAGAATATTTCATGCCCAAGACTTGTGTTCCCTGGGAGACTAAACAGTTGGCAAATATCAGATTCAAAAATAAACCAGGTTGTCTATTTGTTTGTTTTTCACAAGTCTGAGAAAAAGTGTTTCTATCTTGTACAAATCAGGGCTGTTCTGTATCGGTGGATATTATTCGGTTTCTTGCTTTCCCAGCTTTCTGGATCCATATAGCAGAGTTTGAAACAAATAATTTCATACAATTGTAAGCATTTTGGATGCAGCCATTTGGTCTGTTTCAGATTTTGCCGTTAGTATCTCTCCCCACTCTGAACTCAAACCTTCTTGTCTGATGGGACTGGAAAGGAGAAAGGGATTCTATTAGAAATTTGAGATGTAGCTTAGTTGACACAATGCTTGCCTAGCATGAATGAATCTGTGGGTTCAGTTCCCAGTGCTGATGAAACCTGTGTGTGTGTGTGTGTGTGTGTGTGTGTGTGTGTGTGTGTGTGTGTG